CTTTTTGTTACGCTGCACCAAAGAGTGTGCAAAACATTTATATCATGGCGTCAAATAACGAGTTTTTAACACAGGAGTCTGCAGATTTATTGATAGATATTCAGGATGAAGGTCTTTTAGATGAAGAATTTATTATTGCAAATATTGTAGATGTTGGAGAGGTAAGCAAATTTATGCAAGAACTATATTTAATTAAAAAAATAAGCTATGTAAATATACATTACTATAGATTTCTTTTCTTATAGGAGTCAACACCAGGCAGTTTTAAGTGCGACGACTGTGGGAACATTTGTAAATCAAAAGGGGGACTTACTCGTCACCGAAACTGTAAACATTTACAACTAAAAGAGACCTTTGATACAAGTAGAAATACAATGAGTAGCATAATACTAAGTGATTTAGTTCTGGAGTCACAAAAAAATCTATCTGAGGATAACTATTACAACTTAACTCGACGAGAATGTTTCAAGTGTTATAACTTCATATTAACAGAAGCACTTTACGCAGATGTAAAAAAGATTTATGACATTTTGATTAATACAAACAATGCAGAGAGTTATTATTCCAGCTTTTATAATAAAATAGTAATCAATGCAGATGTTTACTTTCCTGAATTAGGAAAACCCAATAGTACTCTTTTAGCAACACAACTGGCTGACAAGGTGCTTGCATACTTCAAAAGAATGCCCAACAAGGAAGCAAAACAAATAAAAAATATAACAAATGATGAAATTGGTGCCTTGCAATATCTGGCTGGGTATGTTGTCAGAAAGTTCATTAAGAAATCGAAAAATAGCCTGAATTATAAATCCAATGAAAATCAAGATATAATAAAAATATTAAATAACGCTATTAGCAAAAATTCTACAGATCAGGAATTGATTGAGGCACAAAATCGTGGTGGACTAACAGCTGTTAATAATGAATGCCAGCAAATATTTGTAAAAGCTGAAATTCAATTTCAAAATGAAACAAATATTAATCATTTGCAAGAAATTGATATTAACAGGATGACTATGGAACTACTGAAAGATACAGAAGTAGTGACCTTTTATAACTCTATCTTAACAGGATGCGGAGTTGACATTGATAATGATGTTAGTAAAAACCTTTTAGAAAATATGGTCAAACTTTATTTTCGAGTGCGAGCATTTTCTTTGGCTAAAGACATTACCACCAAATATAAACTAAAATTGAAACAAAAAAATAATAAGGGTGGTCTTCGTAAAACTCTTAAAAAACAATCCAATAAGTAACAAGCATGGTATATGCCACTTGTTATGTATTTATTTATTAATAAAATTATGTATTTAAAAATATATCATCAATTATTTTAATATGTTCTCAGATTCTGTTGTTTTTTTTTTCTTGCACTTACACCTTTTTCCTAATGGTTCATCAGAAGCGATTTTCCACGATACTTTACGCTTTTGTATATGAGCTCCTATGGTATTTCCAGTAACAGGTGCTACAGATCGTTGCATTCTGATAGCATTTGATTGGTATCCCAACTGAATGAGGGTAGGGTTATCATTTCGGCGACCAAGGCTGCGATGCCTCCCAAAGTATTCCTCCAGGACATCTTGGGTAAAACGTTCAGTCAATACGAAAGGTATTCCGCTAGTTAATAAAAACTTGGTAACTTCAATTAAAGAATTCACAGTTATATGGAGACCTTCGTATGTTTGTAATGAAATAAACATTTTTTCACGTTCACCCCGATGGAAATTCCCAGTTCTATTTTTAATATTTTCTTGCCAAGTTTCAAAGTATTTTAGAAAAGTGTTCTTGAGCCAATCAAAGCGAGCATCGTTAACATTGCGGTAGGGCAACAAAAATTCTTTTCTTTTCAGAATGCCTTCCTTTTGATTTCGAGTAATCGTACAATCAAAAAATTTATCCATTAATTCACATATCTGTGCTGTTACATGGGTTTCTGTGGGATACTTTAAGCGTAAGACATTTGAAACGCTTTTGCTAAGAATTTGAGCTGCTAATCGAACATTCATAACAGAAAAAGAATTTAATTGAACATGCTCTAAGGTCAATTTAGGCAGCAACTTTAAATCTCTGAAAATATCATCATTCACTAATTTCACGAAATAACTCCATATAACTTTTTGTTCATTCCATAAATTACGTGTATGATTTTCACTATCTCCAGAATGATGCAATGAATTTCTAAATGTTTTTATAAGATGTGGTGCATCAGAAAAAAATATATATGTAGCGGTCTGCAAATATATTTTTTGAACGGTACACAACAAATGATTCAATGTTATCCATCCCTTTGTGCATTTTGTAGAACAGTCGATTTGGAGAAGCACCATCAGACACAGCAGCAATTACTTTAAGAGCACACTCTAATTCCAACACAGACACTGCTTTCCAAAAAGTAGACATAATTTGACTTGCAGTAACACCTTTACTAGCAAAATATGCCAAAGCAAACTTTAAATCGGAAGCAACACCTCTAATATAGTAAACTAAGCAGTGAGAAGCAAGGTCATCAATGTCTTTGAAAGTGCTATAATTTAGATGCGGATCTCCAAGATCAACAAAGCCAATAAGCTCATTTGAGTGCTTGTCATACACTAAATTTTCACTAATTTTGATTTCATCAAAAGAGAGTACTATAAATCTTTGAACATCATTTAAGTTGTTAGTGATCAGTTTGAGTTCTTCAATTACATTAGGATTGAACCCGACTGATGGACGTATTGCATTTTTATAATCACTAAGAGTCTTCCGACTTGGCAGAGTGAGTATCATGGAATTCCTAAGTTCATCATATGCTGATGCTGATTTCATGAAAAGGGATAAGCAGAATCTGATAATCATAGGATGATATTTTAAACTCTTCTGATTAGTAGAAGCTTTTTTTTGCTCTTCCCAGAATAATTTCATAAATGGAGTCATATTCTGGTTGTTGGAATCCATAATGTGATTTATATCATTAATAAAATCTTTGTTGAGTTCCACACCCTTTGCATCAATTTCTTTTCTCATTCGATAAATTTTTTCTTTTAATTTTTTGGTTTTAACTCGTTCTTGTTGTAATGCAAGAACAATTCTTTTCTTTGATGTTTTTGTAAGAGGAGCTTTTAACTTTGCTGCAGTGTTATCAATCTTTATTTTAGATTTAAATTGTTTTTTTATTAATATTTTAACTTTTTTACAAATATCACATTCACTTTCTTCATGTAAAACCCTACAATCTTTATGTCTTTTTAACTCTTTATATTGCATAGGAGATATTGTATCAAGGTCGTAATCAAAAGGTATAACATGATTCAATACGCTGGAATTTATTATTTCTTGATCAATTCCTTCGCAAACATTGAGCAATGATATTTTTTGCAGTAAGTTCTGTATCAATACATTTGTCATACTTCGTTTAAAAACTTTGTAAATTATATGATCATCTGGAAGTTTCCAACCAAACACCAAACATGTAAATTCCAAAGAATCATTTACAATCACTTTGCACTTCGGTAGAGAAAATGGTATCTCAAAATTTTTAAACTGAGCAATTTGCTTGTTATCGTCAATTGTAACCTGCCAGTTATATACATTCTTTAATTTTGTTGCACGAGACACAAAGTCTTCCCAGTGCTTGTAACAAACAGCTTTTTTGGTTTTCGGTTTATTAATACAAACTTTTTCAAGTTTTCTTCGCTCAGCTGTGAATGTTTCATGTGATTTCACAGGTAAATTCAATGTTGGAACTGAACCAAGTTTCAATGTTTTGCGACCAGATTCTATAAATGTATATTAATCAATATATTTTGTCTTTAAAAGCTGCACGCACACACACACACATATATATATACAATAGTGAGGGACATTTACAAACAGTTATAAATATATATATACATATACAAACAGTTATATATATATATATATATATATATATATATATATATATATATATATATATATATATATATATATATATATATATATATATATATATATATATATATATATATACATATATTTATATATATATATTGCCTAAGGAACCTTTGGGTTGTGTTATTCTCACATAGCCCAACTAATGATTCATACAGTAACTAGAAACATTTAGCTGTTTACCTTGCAAATATATTACAAGCCTCAGGCATTTTGCAGAGGGTAATTAAGAATCAAAAGGTGCATACTTAATTACTTAAATACATATATACATACCATACATACATACATATATATATATACATATATATATATATACATATATATATATACATATATATATATACATATATATATATATATATATATATATATATATATATATATATATATAAATATATATATATGTATATATATATATATATATATATATATATATATATATGTATATATATATATATATATATATAGCCCAATACTAACGTTTTGTAAAAGCAACATTATATTGCGATAACCAACATTCGAATTAAAAATAAAATTACTTGTCAACTCAATATCTTCAGGTTTAAAATGACGTTCACATATATAAACACGACCAGCATCAATCCTCTCCTGTAATGACTTATCTATTTGACGGTATTTATTTAAAACTTTAACGATATCATTTTTCCAGTCAGACTCACACTTTCTTGTTGGAATTCGGAAGCTGCTCATAAAGCTGTGCTTACTTGTATAAGAAACTGTACAAGTTGGAAAAGCACAATTCCTGCCAGGCATAACTTGATTGTAGCTTTAAATAAAACTGTGTTAACTTTATTTATATGAAATTTGTTGGTTTGTTTGAACTTGGTATGTTTATTTGAACTTTGTTTTGCACACTCTTAGATCACGTGACACAAATAAACGCGAACAATAACATAAAACAATGGACTTCCAGACCATAGTTATATTCTATTGACTATGATTAAATTTGACTGTTAAGACGGCAGATAATGTTTTTACAGAAAGTTGCAACTTCTCACTGCTCCAATAATCATTCCTTAGTGAAAATACCTTTTCAACAGCAGCATTAGCGCCTGGATAACATAAAGAAATTTCTATTAAAGCTTTTAAATTTTTATGTGGGATATGTTCTACTCTAAAATGCCAAAAGATTTCTACCCATCTTTTGTCAAGTTCTATTTTCTCATTGTTCCATTTCTTCAATTTTTCTTCGTTTAAATATAAATTTACTCTGAGTTTCTTCAAAGAGAAAATTGTCATTAATAACAATATCTTTTACTTCCTTCGTTACAAATTTCACTGCTGAAGAAACTTCTTTTCATTCAATTTTACTAATTATAAAGGTCCATTTGAAACAATTCAATGCTCTAAAGTTCGTTATCCATTCTTCGATATATTCATAGCAAATTTTATAAAAATTTTTAACTTCTTTTAAAAATTCATTTTTTATTCCGGGATTGGAATCTTCCAAAGCGGTCAGTTTATAGGCTTTAATATAGCTTTTAATATTGTATATAGTTTTAATATTATTGTTGCTTATACTTCTTTTTTTATTACTTGTCTTAATGTAGTTTACTTTCTTTATTATTTCTTTGTTTTAATATTTTTTTATTTTGTTTGTTTATTTTATTAAGGTGTCGCTCCATTGACTAGTTTTTAATATGAGACACCAAACATAAATTTGTAAATTGTAATAAAGTTTGTAATTTTTGATTTTATGGTTAATTAACCATAAGCGCATGCGTAGTATTTACAGTAAGGTTTTTTTTATCCTTTTATTTAATTAAATAAATAGATAAAAAAACTTTGCTGTACATACTACGCATGCGTCAAGACTGTCAAGCATGCCGTACATACTGCACATCAAAGATCAGCCTGGGGATTACATACACAAATGTTGGATCCATCTTTTTCACAAATGTAATTTTGACGTTGGTGAAAAAAGAGGTCTGTAGTATCTATCTATCTCTCCAGGTGCGTAATACGACCTCTCAATTGTGCTGAAAAAGACAGCCATATGTGCGTGTAAAATTTAAATCACTGTCAAACTTGTGTCTGGTGTTTGCCCTGTTCTCTGACGTGCCGGAAACGGCAAGCAGTATGCGCGCATGAAATTCAAATCACTGTCAAAATAATTTTAAATATTTAATTAATAAAATTGAAATGAAATAATTTAAAATGTTTTAGAAATACAAATGAGTACAAATTATACAAATGAGTACTTTCAGAGTAAAGGATTTGAAAAAAGTACAGTTTGTAAAAAAAGAGTACAAAACTCAGTAAATGAGAATAGTTGGTCACCTTAATTATCTACATAATTTTTTGTTAGATTTTGATTCATTTTAAATTTATTATATGTCTATAAGCAAAAATTATATTTAGAAGTGTTTTACTCCATTAAAAAATAATGTAGCCAGCCTGGATGAGGTGACAACAAAATAGCTCACAGAAACTTTTTTGAATTGTTGTTCTTTTGGCATGTGTGATAATTTTTTCTCAGATGTGGAAAGTTTTAAAATTAGCCGGGCCTCTTAATTCTAGCCTCTGCTTTACAGTTTAGAGTGCCTTTTGAATCAAGCCTAATTATTCACTGAGTTCCCTCTGTGTCAAAATCCCCAGTTTTAAAAAAGCTTCCACTTTCTCTTTCTTTCATGGACTCGGATCTCCACCTTTTCCCTGCAAAAGTACATAAAAATTTATATTAAATACTAAAAAAATTAAAATAAAATAAAAAAGGGTTAGACATGCTACATTACTTAATATTATAAAATCAGAAGTGCCCATTTTTATTTTTTTCATAAAACAACAATAACGGAAGCATGAGATTATATATTATATGTATAATTGTAACAACAATACGATACTCATCAACTTTACATGAAATTATTTTCTAACTCAAAGAATAATCAAATTGTTTTCCACCAGCATTTTTAAAATAGTTTTATTAAACTAAAAAGGAACTCAAACCAGATTTACTCTGTTGAATAAAGTAAATATATCATGACAATTGCTAAAACAGACAAAAAACATGTGATTCTAATATCTTTCTCACCACTGTATATACAAAAACAACTAACCTTTGAATTTAAGCTTTTGTTTTATTTTGTAAATATCTCTAGGTTTAGTTTTCAAACCGCTTCTATTAAGACTATCTGTCACAAGTGCTGTATTTGCCCCATGTTCAATCAACATCAATGTCTGTTGTTCTAACAATCCTTTTGGTTGACGCTGTGAACTATACATAGAAAATTCTTCTATACCATATGGATGGTTGTGTTCAAGAAACAATCTTTTAACACAATAACATTGTCGTTAGTTGTCATATGAAACATAAATAAACATTTTGCAGCCACATGGAAGTATTGCCTTATTATTGCGCTTACCTTGTTTTTTCTTCATAAGATAAGGTTTTCGGTGGCCAAAATGTTTGCATGTCCATCTGTAAACATGAAAAATACATGAATAACACTATTTTTTAAAAGGTATTAATTGTAATTGTAAATAAAAACATTCTTTTATGATTATTTTTAAGTCTTTTTTTAAAAGGAAATCCATATATAGTAATAAATAGATATAAATACACCACAAAGTTTGTAAACAAAAATAGTAAAAAAACATAAATGTAAATGTAAACCTGCATGCATATATTGAATCTAAAGGTTGATTTTTAATTTATGATTCTTGCTTCACTTTCTTATTGTAACTTTCAAATTTTTCCTTGTAATCAACTCTAAATAGATGAAAATGTGTATTGCAGTAATGTATAACAGCCTTTTCTGCAGCATTAAAATAGCAAAATTTTTCATTTAGAATATCTTGCATTGTTAAAAATATTTTTAAATATAGTCTTCAAAAATCTAAAAGAAAAATATTAAAAAATCTTCTAAAAAACTCTTGATAAACACATAACAAAATCATTAATTGTGTTCAATTGTAGTTGTCCAGTTTGAAATATAAACAACTAACCTCATACAAAATTATACTTTTTTATAGATATAAATTTTGAATATATATCTGTTTAACAAACATCAGTGAAACACGATTTAAAATTGTTTGTAAACTGTGATTAAATTTAAAATACCAATAAAATTAAACTGTGATTTGTAAACTGTGTATTAATTTTAAAAAACAATAAAATTAAGCTGTTTGTAAACTGTGATTAAATTTAAAAACACCAATAATAAAAAAAAAGTGAATAAAATGACACTTATACACAAATAATATATACATATATCATATTGCTGAAGTTGACTTGTTTTTAAGTGAATCTAAGTGATTACTGAATGATTACAGACTCCTGGTGGTACAGAGCTCAGCTCATCTCTCCATAGCAAACATCAAAGTTCAAGTTTTGAAGTTAAAGAACTAAGAGAGGCAAGATCTGATCCATATCAAGCTGCCTTGTTCAATTTGCTTTCATAATAAACGTAAGAAATAAATGTTAGAAATGTTACTCAGAAGAATGTAAAAAATGAACGTAAGAAATGAATGTTAGAAATGTTACTCAGAAGAATGTAAGAAATAAACGTAAGAAATGAATGTTAGAAATGTTACTCAGAAGAATGTAAGAAATGAAAGTAAGAAATGAATGTTAGAAATGTTACTCAGAAGAATGTAAGAAATGAAAGTAAAAAATGAATGTTAGAAATGTTATTCAGAAGAATGTAAGAAATGAACGTAAGAAATGAATGTTAGAAATGTTACTCAGAAGAATGTAAAAAATGAAAGTAAGAAATGATTGTTAAAAATTTCATAATGAACGTAAGAAATGAATGTTAGAAATGTTACTCAAAAGAATGTAAGAAATGAACGTAAGAAATGAATGTTAGAAATGTTACTCAGAAGAATGTAAGAAATGAAAGTAAAAAATGAATGTTAGAAATGTTACTCAAAAGAATGTAAGAAATGAACGTAAGAAATAAATGTTAGAAATGTTACTCAGAAGAATGTAAGAAATGAAAGTAAGAAATGAATGTTAAAAATTTCATAATGAACGTAAGAAATGAATGTTAGAAATGTTACTCAGAAGAATGTAAAAAATGAACGTAAGAAATGAAAGTTAGAAATGTTATTCAGAAGAATGTAAGAAATGAACGTAAGAAATGAATGTTAGAAATGTTACTCAGAAGAATGTAAGAAATGAAAGTAAGAAATGAATGTTAGAAATGTTACTCAGAAGATTGTAAGAAATGAAAGTAAGAAATGAATGTTAGAAATGTTACTCAGAAGAATGTAAGAAATGAAAGTAAAAAATGAATGTTAGAAATGTTATTCAGAAGAATGTAAGAAATGAACGTAAGAAATGAATGTTAGAAATGTTACTCAGAAGAATGTAAGAAATGAAAGTAAAAAATGAATGTTAGAAATGTTATTCAGAAGAATGTAAGAAATGAACGTAAGAAATGAATGTTAGAAATGTTACTCAGAAGAATGTAAGAAATGAAAGTAAGAAATGAATGTTAGAAATGTTACTCAGAAGAATGTAAGTAATGAAAATAAGAAATGAATGTTAGAAATGTTACTCAGAAGAATGTAAGAAATGAACGTAAGAAATAAATGTTAGAAATGTTACTCAGAAGAATGTAAGAAATGAAAGTAAGAAATGAATGTTAGAAATTTCATAATGAACGTAAGAAATGAATGTTAGAAATGTTACTCAGAAGAATGTAAAAAATGAACGTAAGAAATGAATGTTAGAAATGTTATTCAGAAGAATGTAAGAAATGAACGTAAGAAATGAATGTTAGAAATGTTATTCAGAAGAATGTAAAAAATGAACGTAAGAAATGAATGTTAGAAATGTTATTCAGAAGAATGTAAGAAATGAACGTAAGAAATGAATGTTAGAAATGTTACTCAGAAGAATGTAAGAAATGAAAGTAAAAAATGAATGTTAGAAATGTTAATCAGAAGAATGTAAGAAATGAACGTAAGAAATGAATGTTAGAAATGTTACTCAGAAGAATGTAAAAAATGAAAGTAAGAAATGAATGTTAGAAATGTTACTCAGAAGAATGTAAAAAATGAACGTAAGAAATGAATGTTAGAAATGTTACTCAGAAGAATTTAAGAAATGAAAGTAAGAAATGAATGTTAGAAATGTTACTCAGAAGAATGTAAGAAATGAAAGTAAAAAATGAATGTTAGAAATGTTATTCAGAAGAATGTAAGAAATGAACATAAGAATTGAATGTTAGAAATGTTACTCAGAAGAATGTAAGAAATGAAAGTAAGAAATGAATGTTAAAAATGTTACTCAGAAGAATGTAAAAAATGAACGCAAGAAATGAATGTTAGAAATGTTATTCAGAAGAATGTAAAAAATGAACGTAAGAAATGAATGTTAGAAATGTTACTCAGAAGAATGTAAGAAATGAAAGTAAGAAATGAATGTTAGAAATGTTACTCAGAAGAATGTAAGAAATGAAAGTAAGAAATGAATGTTAGAAATGTTACTCAGAAGAATGTAAGAAATGAAAGTAAAAAATGAATGTTAGAAATGTTATTCAGAAGAATGTAAGAAATGAACGTAAGAAATGAATGTTAGAAATGTTACTCAGAAGAATGTAAGAAATG